ATGCAATTGGATAAATAATCTTGATTCTTATTCAATTTTGTTGACATTATTCAAATTTGGAAATAAATTAATGATATGAAATGAAACATAGACTAAGATACATTGTGAATAGAGTGAATTGTTAAAATAAAAAAAAAGGAGCGAAGTCGTATCAATAATAAAAGTAATTATCTAATTACAAATATATCTCTAAGTATAAGACAATAAGAATTAGTTATTATAATATAATAATATTTATCATATACGATATAAAATAGAATTATGCTTTCGAGCAGAGAACTAATAAGTTTGAAAAAAAATCTTTTTTTTTAAATATTATTCATCAATCATTTTCCATATCAAAGATCTGTTATCACAATCAATATCTTTACAACGAATCGTGTATGTCAATTCTTTTGTATCTATTAATATAGCTATTGTATTTCGCTGGTGATGAGTACCTTTGCGAGGACAAAATCGATAGTTTCCTTCTATATTATAAAATACTATATCTGTATTTCGATTACCACGTACACATGATCGAATATAACCTTGATGAAATTGATCTGCTTGAATTAATTTATTTACGAATAATGTAAATTGTTCTATTTCTGGTTGAGTTGAATTAACGATCGTTGGTGGTATTGTCAATGATGACATATTTGTTTTATTTGTATTTGTAGTAGATTTAGTATTTAATGAGAACATAAAATTAGTATTAATCAGACTCTATTAAGTTTGTTTAAATCAATAAAATTATTATTGAAGATTGATGGTGAATTTATTTGATCTATGGATGTATATATGAATTGTTTGTTTTTAAATAAATTATTGGAATATCAATCATTTCATTGTAGGTCAATAATGATTTACGAAGAACATCAAAGTATGAAAGTTTCGCATTATTAAATGGGAAATTAATTGATTGGTGAAGAGGATTTGCTTTACCAATTTTAACAGAATCAAACAATCTGAATTGCTGATTTTTAGAGTATATGCTCAAATCAACTGCTAAGGTTAATCGATTGTCTTTATTGAATAGTAATAAATGAGCAAATTCTGCAATTGTAACGTAACCTATATATAATTCACATTTAATGCAACATGTACGTAATGTATGTAAATATGGTGTCAATAATATTAGTAAATCAGATATTGTATAAGTTTGTGAAGGTAAATTGATATAAAATGACAAACATTTATGTTGTGTAATTAACCATAGAGAATAATAAATAACACCTTTAATGAATAGTCCAAGTGTAATATTATTTTCGAATAATATACATGGATTTGCGTGAATGAAATGGTACGAAATTTTTTCGCAAGTTGATCTAGAAATTAGTCAGATAGAAATTTTTTTATTTTATTTTATTTGCATTCAGAGTGATTTAGACTATTAAAAGATATTAAAGTACTATTTATCAAGTTTTTTTTTAAATAAAAACATTTATTGATCAGAACTTTTACTGAAAATAGTATAGTGGAATCAATATCTTACGCATCTAGAATGAGAAATTGATCCAAGATGTGAGTAATCTGATCGGTATTTTGTTGAACATTATGAATTTGAGAATTTAATAAATAGTAGAATATTTTTAAAAGACAAATAGCTCCAATATGACAATTTTTAATGTCAAGATTGTAATTGATATATGCTTTTACTTGATTTTTAGGTGTCATTAATTCATAAAGAGAACGCTCAATAACACTTGAATGTTGATATAAAATAGTCAACTCATCTAATGTGAAATAAGAGAATTGACGACTGTTGTTATCTATTTCCATGCTTATACAAATCATATTTTTTAAATTTTGATTTGGTAATTGATCTATTAAATCTTTTATTCGGTAACTAACGACTTTGTTTGTAAAAAGACTTTTGATTAATTTTGCAATCAATGCCATTATAGTTTATGATATTAAAAATGAATCTTCAAGTAATATTAAGAACGCGCCTATTTATTTAGTAATTATTTATTATAAATATAAATATCACATTAGAAAGGTAGAATAAGTTTTCAAGAATCTATATCATAACAAATTTTCTTTACCGAGAATTTATTTTGAGTATCCGGTTTTTATCGTTTTCTCTTATTTTTAAAGCTATAAGATTAAGAAAAAAAGATCATCTCTTACTAACGTATTAATTATCCGTAATAAGTTTAGTCAATTTTTTTTATCTAATGATTATAGTTATATTTTATTTACTCTATTTATATATTGGAATCAACAAGCAATGTTCTATATAATACAAAAGAAAAACAACTGTTTGTAGAGAAGTTAATTAACATTTGATAGAAGAAGTTAGTTTTCTGCACTATAAATAATGATAAGATAAATAGATGTTGATATTAGTTGGAATATAACAATTATACTATTGATAATTGTGAATTAGCCATTGTAATGAGATTTCGTGCTCCTAGAAATTGGAAAGAACATTAATCGAATGAAGAGTTTGTTATAAAAAAGACAATTTAAAAAATAACTAATTTTAAAATGTTAAATGTGATCAATATGGGTTATACGTACCATCATACCATGATACTTTAACATTTTTGAATTTTATATTAAGTCCAACCATATTTCGATCAACAGATCGAGCCTGAAAAAAAAATAGATTTAATGATACAATTCAAAATTCTTATATAATTACTTGGCTATTCCATAAAGTCATTGACAAATGAGTTCCGTCTTGATCAATATGAATATCTCTTCGACTCCAAATATTACCATTTCGTTCACCAGTTGAAATACCAAAATCCCGTAGGACTCGTCCTTCTACATCCAAAAAAAAAAAAAATAAAGCAATTCATATATTACATTTATCTATTTATTAAATAGTTTCCTTGCAAAACGAATATTTAATAATTTTAGATAAAATAATTTTAGTTTGTTCAATTAAAAAGGGTTCAGTTTTGATATAAAAAAAATATCAAGATAGAATTACCAATAATTGAGTGCATTGGAATTGTATTCACTTGATTCAAATGAATGAAATTGTACGACATATTTCGAAGATCAAGTGTAAAATTAATTTTTTCAACGCTTGATCCTAGTGGCGTATTCAAGGGCGGGCTAGGTTGGGCGCCGCCCCACCACCGAGGCTGTTCGCCCAACCACCGGTCATTTTTGAAAAATTGACTTTTTTTATTTATATGCGATTACTGATCGTCATTATCTTTTATAAAGGCGTTCATATCTTAAACGTAATATGTATATTCAGTTTATCATTACGTTCAAAAAACTCTTCTAACGAAAGAGTCTGAATAGCTAAGAAAAGTTTTGGTATCACTTGGTTGACTACATCGGACAGAATAACAACAGATGGACTAAATCCCCCTCCCCTATAATAGAAGCCCCCTCTGAGACGTACACCGTGTTTGACGTATTAAAAGTCCCCTGATTTTTCCAAAAAAAATTTAAAAATTTTTGAGATTTTTTTCAAATTCTCATACTAAAACTGCTAAAATTTCTCAATTTTTGAGGTAAAACTTCGACTAACTCCTATCTAACTGTGCTTAAATGTGCAAAAACTGCCTAAAATCTTCTAGAAAAATCATGAAAACTTTGAAAATCTCTAGAAATCTTTCGAATCGGGTTTCTTATCATAGTCTATGAAACCTTTTTGGGACTTTATAGAAGGCCTTCAGAAATTATAAACGGTGAACAAATTAGAAGTCTCCAGGGGCTTCTAATATAGCAGCAGAGATGTAGAATCTTCCCAAAAACAATTTCCTCCTGGGAAAATTTTCGAAAAAACTTCTCAGAGGTAAGTTTTGAAAATTTTCCCAGAATTTCCAAAAATTGCTTGAAAAAATACAGTTTTTAAAAAATTTATCCTATCCCCTCCCTCCGAGCGGGGACGCACGAGGAAGATTCTGTACCTCTGCATAGGAGGGGGAGGGTGGTTACTGTTTTTTTACATGTATTTTTTCTTAATAATAGAAAATGTGAATCCAACTAACTCTTGTATTTTTTATACATAAGTGAGGTATTATTTTAGAAAATATTTTGAAGATACATATACCATTGTACGTCTATTCTACGAAGAAGAATATCATCTCTCACCAAGAATACTCTTTTGAAAAATCCTTAGGGCGCCGCCCAACCACCCGTCAAATCCTGGTTACGCCACTACTTGATCCATATGTACAAACGAGTTGATATTGATGAGGTAATGTTTTGAAGGCATCCGATGCTGATCGAATATTTAAATTTGTAAATTCATATGCCTATTAATTGGTAAATAATGATATTTTATATTTAACTAAAAATTGATTACCTGATCTTTTTGCAATTTAGTTGACATCATACATGAATTGACATTGAATGCAACCAATGTAATGGAACCAGATGAATCAGTCAAATCCCAATTAGAAATTTCACCTGTTCCATGTGTATTAACAAAAGTTCGTTTGGGATATTCGCAAGTTACGACAGCTCGAATTTTCCATCTATAATAAAAATATTTATTATGAATTAAATAAATGAATCTACGAAATAAATTCAGTACTCAGTATCAGAAAATAATAACTAGGAATGATTTATAAAAACTATTAGTTTCAAATGAATCAACTTACATCTTACATATAAAAATACGATATGATTATTTTTATTTTCGAGTATTAATGAATTTATGCAGTTAAACTAATATAGAAAAAACTTACAAAAATGTTATATTATTGTTGATATCGACAATATTGATCAGAACACGTTCATTGTCTAAAATAGAACCAATCATTCAAAACCAATGAGATTGTTTTTTTTTAAGTATATTAATTTTTAATTTTTCAAAAACAAAATTATTGAGCTATGAAATATATTAAATTAATTCATAATCGATTGGATAGATGATTGGCATTTGTGTATGATAACACTAATTACATTCTTTTATCTATTGTCAATTGACTTAGTATGCTTGTAGTCATATGGAGGGAGATTTATTTTTATTTTTATAGATCAAATGATGATCTTCATTTTGAAAAATTTACTAATATTTTAATCTCATTTAAAAAGACTGACTTGTTGATGTATCTTGATGATTGTTATTCCCTAGACTGAAAAGGATAGGGTCTAGAAACGGGAATTATCTTTTTTATATGTATTATTTTTGTCGGTAACATGGCTAAATTGACCATTTTCTGGCACAAATGACCATTTTTTTGGCACATTTGACTATTTTTTGGCATATTTGACCATTTTTATGGCACATTTGACCATTTTACTTTGTGGTATAAATGACCATTTTTTAGGCACAAGTGACCATTTTCTTGGTACAAATGACCATTTTTTTGGCACAAGTGACCATTTTTTTGGCCCAAATAACCATGTAACTATGGTATATTTTTGATAATATAATTTTATTTGCTATTATCGTTTTATTTTAATAGCATAATATTCAATATATAATATTTTATTCAATCGTATGAAAAGAGCGCTTACTTAAATATTTAAAATATTTCTTAATTATATATATATATATATATAATATTTTATTGTATCAAAAGGGCACGAACCTAAAAATTTAATTTATTCGTTAAAAAGGGCGCAAGCTTAAATATTTGAAATATTTCTTAATTATATATAGATCATTATTTTATTGAATAAAGTGAAATAATGAGGCAACGCTAATTTTTCTTTTAATATGGAGGAAAATCAAATAATATTAATAATAAAAAACGGAACATTCGTATGCATAGAGTATTATAAAGCTTTGGAAAAAATGTTTGCCTATTTTTATATAGCATATCATTTATCATCATAGACAAATATTTTTAATACATGTTTGAAAAAAACAATGATGTGTCGAAACGTCCTGTACGATGACTCAATAAAATAAGACCCAGAATTAGAAGCTTAAAACCATACGCATTGTAATTTCATCATATTAAAAGTCTAGTTGATGCATTATTGCAAAATATTTCAATAAATTTGTTGGTTTAATAGTCTTGCTATAGTGCATATAGATAAAAGAGTTCAAAATCAATTTTGATATATAATGATAGAAAGATCTCCACTGTAGTTTTTTTTGAAATCCTACTTTTTATAAAATTGACTTTAATAAAGCTAAAGCATTTTTAAACTTTATTATTCATTCGTCAAATATCAAACTTTTAGAGAATACTTGATTTCATATAAGATAGAACTTCAGTTTGATTCTCTGCTGAAAGTCAAAACTAACATTGATTAAATCTCATTCGTATATAAATGGAGTTATATCAGCATGCAGACCGCGACAGTCTAGGGTCAAGTGAATCGAATTTCGATGAACGCTACTTGTTTATATTTTGTGTAATATGTTCAGTAACCATATTTCTTGATAAAAAGATATTGTTGGAGCACACATCAGTATCTAGAAAAAAAATTCAATAATGAAATTGGTTTTTTCTATAGTTTGTATTATAGATTACTCGATTGTAAATTTTCATCAATTTCATTTTTATTTTGTTGAATTGATTTTGGTATAGTATCTAATGATACATTAGTATTTCTACAACTAAGTAAATAAATATTAATATTAATTTCAACCTTTTATTTACGTTTCGTTGTCAATATCATTGCATATTTCATTAGAAGTAGTACAACTTGATATATAAGATGCCATTCTTTTTAATCTAAAATAAAACAGATACATTTACATCAGATCATCTTTTTTTTAAGTCGCCATTGAAGCTATGTTGAAGAGAAAAAGAAATTAATTAATGAAATGGCTCCAAAAGAAACATTCTTTTTATTTCTAATTAAGCGTAAATGAAATAAAATATGTACATGAGTTTCTCATATAAGAAAAACCATTTTCTTTATCATTAATAAGATTTAAAGAAAAAAGAAAAGTCTCTGGAATAAAATTCACATCTTTCACAAATTAATCTGCCGTTTTACTATCTGTTAAAATGTCTAGATTTCCATCAATTTTTATTCGCATAAAAATCGAATGAAGAATAATAATTATTACGCATGCTATGAAAATGATGATCATAATCATCTATGTAAAATACATTTATTATCGACTCGTTTCAGATCAACTACTGTTTAATTACTAAGCTCAATGACTTGTTTTTTTAGAATAAGAATTTTCAACTGAAACAATTAATTTGATTATATTATATTTTTATTTGAACATATGAAGGTAAAAATAGAAAGATTGAAAAAAAACTATAAGTTTAATATGATGATTAATCTAAACACAAGAATTAAGCATTTTAATTGTTCTGGGACTATTATTAAATATCTATCAATAATATTATAATAAATTGCAAAATCAAAATAGATATCTTAATTGTCTCGAGCAGCAACAATGCTGATGAGACAGATTTTAATTTATATGATATGACGAAATACAGAAGTATTTTCTTTTTAAATTTTTAATAAAATTGATCTAGAATTTTCTTATATAGGTAATAGTATGTTTTATGCGATATAATCTATATTCGTTCTTTATAAAGCTTGGATGAATCTCATGCACTAAAATATGTTTAGTTTATTAACTATGAAGCGATTTAGGTTTATAAACATCAAATTTTGATATTTATTTTAAATTTTCATTGTTTTTTCTTTTTTTTGTTGGATAGATCTGCTGTATAAATAAGATTTATAAGACTTCAGATTTTAAGTTCTTCTAAGCATAGATAACATAGACTCAAATGCTTTGTTTTTGTTGTTCAAGACACATATATAAAAAAATATGTTATGTAATGTAGTCGATTTATTTTCTTTTTATTATTTTCTTCTATACATATGATATGTAAAAGAACTTATGAGAAGACTCTGTTATATTTAAATATTAAGAATTATTATTTTCTCGTTTGAAAGACTTTATCGAATATTATTAATATAAAAATTTAGATTAATCGTGAATAAAAAAAACTCTTTAGATGTAGTTTTCACATAAAGTACATTTGCCACGATGGCATTTACTACAACATTTTATAGATTGTTTTTTACATGGACATCGATTTGTGTCACATGTAACGACACATTTGCATACTTGATTTGATTTATAATGTGTTAATTTTTGAGAAGCTTGAATAAAGCTAATAGATGATAACGTTTTAATGTCTAATTGTCGTAATTCTGCTGATACAGTTTGAGATAAGTCAGTAAAATCAGAAGATGAAAATGAGTCAGAAATAACTCCATAAAAAGTAGCTACTTTATAGGTCGTATTTAAAGATTCTTCGCTTGCAAGTACTTGGATTACTCTACATGGCAAAATAGATGGTGCCATATTTGATCGATCTACATTGGCAATTTTTAAACCAACTATATCATTTATTTGATATATTTTTTGCTTTTTTAATGCACGATTATAATTATTTAATTGACGTTCTAAATCATAAATATAATCTTTGTTTTATCTAACATATTGCAGACAAAAAATATTTAGAAATCTGCACACGTATATGATTATATACAATTTAAAAAAAAAGAACTGCACCTGCTGTTTGAAGATAGCATATCTCAGCTTCTTCACGAATTCGTTTATGTGGTGTATTTTGACAAGATTTACTATGAAATTAGAATAAGATAGAAATTTAAATTCATAGAATTAATTACTCTGCACATTCAGTATCAGATACATTTGATAATAAATTTGAAACTGGTGAAGAAATATCAATACATGTCGAATTTTTTGTAGCTAACTAAAAAAGACAAGATCAGAAAAACCTAATATTTATTCTACGAACTGGTTCATTAAATAAATTAAATTCATTAATAATTGATTCATCAATTTCTTCTTCATTAATAATAATAGAATTTTTTGAGTGTTTTTGTATTTCTTCCCAGAAATCATGATCAATACGTAGAGTTTGACCAAAAACCATTTCGTATGGACTTTTTTTTGTATTTTGTGAAATAGAATTATTAATAGCTAGCATAACTGGTCCTTAATATTCATGGAAAAATTAGTAATTATTTATTAGTGAGATCAAATCTATATTAATATCTGATACCTAAAGCATCAGGCCAATTAGATGTTTTATTTTTTTCTAACCATTTTCCGATCATATGTTGAACTACTGCATTGGATCGTTCCACGAGACCCTGACTTTGAGGGTGTCGTGGACGTCCATTAATGATTATTAAATCGGGCCAATTTAATTTTAGATCTAAAATAATTTTTGCGCTAACGAAAAAAAAAAGAATCTATGACTTTTTTAACTTCAACTAAATATTACACAAATTCCTTGCCGTTGTCACTTTGTAAAATTTTTAGCGGTCCGAATGTGTAAAATATGTTGCGTAAATTATTAGCTACATTACTGGCTTCTTTAGATGGTAAAGCATATAGCCAAGTGAACTTGGTAAAATGATCTTTAGCATGCATAATAAAATTATAGCTGTTATATGACACACTCCGCGTATCGATTAGGTCAACTTTCAGACGTGTTAAAAATCCTAAGGAAACAATAGGTTTTTCGCTAATCGGTGTTGGAAATGAGCGACGCATCTGACATGTATCACATATGTTGATGTAAATACATATGGCTTGATGAGGAATACCAGCATAAAGACGTTTAATCTATATAGAATTATGATAGAAATTGATAACAAAAATATTACTAACTTCTGCTCAAGTTTTGTCTCTTCCTGAGTGACCGACAGCAACATGACAATCAACAACTCTATAATATATTTGTTCATGTCTAACTAGTGGCAAATTTTTTTTAACATAAACGAAATCTGTTGAACCTATTTTAACAAGTCGAAATGTTTGTTTATCGCAAAATTTGAATTTTGCTGATACATTATTATTTGCTTCTTTAACTACACTTAAAATATCTAAACACATCATTTTTGATTGTATATTTATTACGCTTTTTTATATCCAAACTATCGATATATGTTTGCAATTTAGAATAAAAAATGTCCATTTCATTATTATCATTCATCGTTAAAATAAATAAATAAAATTATAAAACAAAAAACATCCATAGTTTATATTTAATTACTCTCGGTGTCATAGCGACAAACATGAATAATTAAAATTTAAATGAATCAAAAAATAATTATAAAAAATGACATATTAATAAATTTTATTAAATTATTAAATTATAAAGTAAGAAAAATAAATATTTATATGATCACATGAGATAATTACCATAATCAACCAATTATTTTATTTTATCTTGCTATCAAAATATCAATTGAGCAAGACTCATTAATTACTTTATGACCCATACAAAAGATGAGAAAATGCATTCAGATGAATGAAAAATTATGAGTAAAATTTAGTCATCAAAATAAAAAAGAAGGATACATCTCATTTGTGAATATAAATATAATTTATGCTTTATTTAGATCAAGTTATTTAAGTTTGAATATTTGAAAAGTTGATAAACTTATAGCTTTTTTCAAAAATGAGTTGAAATTTTAAAAATAATTATCAATAAAAGTTTAAATATGTTCAAATGTGTAGATAAAATTTACTTGTTTTATTACAGTATGTCTAATATGTAGATGATATGAGATTTTTCATTAGAATTGTTTTTTTTTAAATGACTATAGTTATTTTAATTTCTAGACAATTCCTATTTTATACTAAAATAATATTATGCATGATAAAAAAGAAAATATTAGTTTAAATTACAGATTAAGTTTTTTAATTTCACTGTACAAAAATATTAATGCAAGTTTTGAGAGTGGTGCTGTAGATTTATTGATTATTTGATAATTTATGATCTAATTTTTTTGGTAACTGACCTTTTCTTATATTCTTTTAGAACGACTGTTTAATGATTGATAAGCGAGAAATCAACGTCAATCTTTCTAAATAAATAGACAAAAATATGTAATGATCCTATAGTATTAGATTTTTTTATATTCTGTTGTTACTTTCTCTTCTGTTGTATTAAATGAATTCAATAGCATTTGATTTATATTCATTTTTTATATCAAGATGTAGTTATGTACCGGTTTGATATCATTATATTTTGATTTATTCAATTTTATTCTATGATATTGTACGCACGCTATTTTCTTCTTTTATAAAATACTGACATTTTTTTAATAGTAATAATTGTCTAATATATAAAATATATACCTTCATATTTATACGCTGATTTTAAACGTAATTTGAAGAATTATATAAAATTTTATGAGTGCATTCCAACTAAAATTTTTTAATTTAATATTTTCACATTAAGACTAATTTTAATGAATCTTATTTTCTTACGTAGTAACGATATACCTTTAACCCGAGCAAGGGGGTCAAAAAAAAATTTTTTTCATTATATTATCATACAAAAAAAAAAAGAAATATATTTTATATTTTACTGTTATACAAAGATATGAACGAATGAGATTATTGTATTGATCTATTTTAATATGTGCATAAGATTAAATTCCATATTTACTAACGTTTGTCACACCATATTTTGTACTTCTGTAAAATGCTGATGTTATTTTTTATTGAAATTATTATGAGACATACGAAACATGTGTATGCATATTAATATACTGGTCTTGAACGTAATCTGAACATTAATATATAATATTCTCAGTTACTTTCAACTAGAATTTTAAATCTAAAGATTTTTTTACATAGAATAACGGAATGAATTTTATTTTCTTATTTCAGTAATCATAAAGCTTTGACCCGAG